TGCTCCCCTGTTGGAAGGAGCTCCCCCAGTGGTGACCCTCCTCCAAGAACATTCTGACCTAGCTACCCTAGCTCATTAAGGGCTTTAAATTTAGGACCATGACTTTGAAATTAATCTGGAAACTAATGGAGAGTCAGTGGCATGCCTGGGACATCCGTGTCATATGTTCTCAAAGGTCCCTCTTGCCCAGAGGAACGGCCATTGCTCAGAGAGTTTCTATGTGCATAACCTTCCCCGAGAGCCCCAGAAGAGGGGAGGATATAGCTTTAAACAGTAATTGTAATTGTGGGACAAGTGGGCCATTTCCTTGATCTGTGTCTAGGGTGACCAGACAGCAAACGTGAAAAATTGGGACAGGGGTGGGGGGTAATAGGAGCCTATATAAGGAAAAGACCCAGAAATTGGGACTGTCCCTATAAAATCGGGACATCTGGTCACCCTATCTGTGTCCCACCTTGTTAAATTTGAATATCAATATTCTTGTTTAAATATCCTTTAAATTTTTTCTAGAGAATTAAATGCTGGTGAAGGGGGATGGATTGAAATCCTTTAAGCCTGAAATCCTCTATTTATCCACAATATGGCAAAGGCAGCAAAAATGCAGGTTTCCCCAACTGTGATGCCAAGATGCCTCAACACTGAGCAGCAGGGACCACCTAATAGGGGTTTCATCTTCATCTTTGGTCTTAGGCCTCTCTGCTAACCCTGACCAATAAGGGCACCATTCAATGCCATTAGTGATGCTGATTTATATCATTCATAGTGTTTGTATAAATAAGGCAGAAACCGGGGAATACCCAGACTAACCTCTTGCCTGGGTACTCCCCAGAATTAAAAAGCTGAAAGAATTTAGCTTCTTTCTCCCAAGGGAAAACAATAGCAAGAAAACATGCTCAAACCTGCACCTTTCAGGTACACTACATCTCCTATAAAATGTATATATTAGAAGAGGATTCCTTTGGGATCCCTTTACATGCTTATATACAGCACGATCTGCCTCTCCACACATATACTTTCCTTTCCTGACCATATAGGTTTAAGCTCTTCAGACTATAATAGCGATGACTCACCATACCATTCATTGGTTTACCTACTCCCCTCAGATCTGATGGGCTCATAGTTAGATGAATTGCCCAGGGTGAGGATTCACTTTGTAGAATGATACAATACAAAGGTTCCCAAACTGTGGTCTGCAGAGCACTTGCATGTGTTCCCCAGCACTGACTGGTCATATAATGCTGTATCCTGCATCTTATTTCCAATTGCAGACAGCGTGCCCTAAATTGAGCAGGTAACACAGCTGCTAACCTGCATTAAAATCAAGCTAAAAATAAATCAAAAATACATTCAAAGCAACCCTAATATTGCTTTCTCATGTAAGCAATTGCTGCAGGTGCCACAAGGATAGTATGGGACTACAAATGTGAGAGGATGGTTTCTGCATTAAAATGTAGTCAACATTTTGAGAACCCAGCTACATTTATTTTGTCTCATTCGCAGACTTTTTTTGCTATAATACATTCCCAGCTTATGGCACAGCAACTGTGAATCATGGAGGCCCTTTAACTAGCAGCACATCCCCATTTTTTATCCAGCAGAGTATGCTTTAGGTTGCCTGACTGATTTTTAAATCCAGAACGCTTTACTTAAGCATCAGGCTTGTTTATCTTGGTTTCGTTAGATTAACTCTTCTCAGTAAGTTTCAAAATAAATCCAACTTTTATTGTTTCATCCATTTTTGCAGTTGAGGGACCTGAGCAAAACTACAAACTTCATCCTACAAAAACCTGACTGTGGTAAAAGAAAGGGGAGGGAGCTCTCACCATTCCAAACTGATTGTTGTTGGAACCTGGCTAGTCCAAGCAGGGGTCATAACTTAAGGTTTCACTTTTCCCTCCAATTCCAAGCATCATAACTCTTCATAAATGTTAGTCATGCAGTATCCTTGTGAATGCTGCTCTTACCCATGCCACTGAAAGGCAAGCAAGTTTCTGTGCAGTATAGCAGCTTTTTGTGCTCAAACAGCAGATGTGTCCATACTGCCAAGCCACTTTGTGCGCAGAAACTCCTCCATTGTAGCACTGCAAAAAAACCCACCTTGACGAGAGTCATGAGGCTATTTGCGCAGAGGTTCCAGTGCTCTATTGCCAGTGTAGACACTGGATTACTTTCTGCACTGTAATTGGCCTCCAGAGCTGTCCCTTAATGTCCTTCAAGTGACCGCTCTGCTCATTGTTTTGAACTTGGCTGCCCTGGAGACATGCACCCCTCCCCTTTCAAAGCACGGTTTCTGACCGCTGTTGCATGCTGTGCTGACCTGCTCCAGGCACATAGCAAACCATTAATGTGGAATGCTCATGCTGTTGAACACAGAGGGGTGTGTGTGTGAGATTGCTGTGCAGAGAGCCAGGGGCTGATGTCCGGGTTGGGCCCCCCCCCCGCCTCAGGACTGGTTACTTCCTGCCACTGTCTGAACTTACAAGACAGCATGCGGACACACACTCTGTCCCCAGAAACACACCGTGTCTCTCCTCCCCCCTCCCATACACACACACACACACTCCCTGTCACACACTCTCCCCCTCCCCTGCTTCAGTTGAAAAGCAGCTAGCAATGTAGTAGGATGCCCATGGAACAATGGGATTGGAAAATCTGCCCCATGAGGCATTGCAAACCCTTCCCAAAGCACCCTGCAGCCAGTTGCACAGTTACCACAATGCATTGCTGTCTTTGTCGTTGCAAAAGCTGCTAATATGGATACACTCCAGCATCACAAGGAGCACAGTGTGGACACGCAACAGCGGTTTAATTCCAGCGTTTTAATAAAAGTGGTATAACTTGTGGCCCAGAAACTTGCCAGTGTAGACAAACCCTGCTGGTAAATTGGGGAGTTAAGTGGTGGTGATAAAAAAGTAGTGAAAATAGTAATCATCTCCTGATACTAACACTGGCACCTGGTCTTCTTTCCTAGTCAGAGGAACAAAGTACTGGTGTTTGCCCTTCAACATTGTTTCACATGTGACAGGCCACTGTAGTAAGAGCAGGGGAAGTGGGTCAGCCAGGGAACTTCTTTTAATTAACCAAATGTACAGGATTGTTCAGTAATGACACTGTCTTTGCAATGCAGTTCTTCATTTTCATTTGTGAATATATGATGTGCATGTATTGGACAATACTTGAGCTTATAAGATTACGTACGAAAGCACATTTATAGCTCTGAGGAGCAGAAGCTGAAATATTTTAGTGAAGACTGTCACCAACTAAACAAACTGTATCCAAGCAGCATGAAAACATCACTTTGGTTATTCATGACTTCGAAACGTCTGTATTTTTTAACGGAAGTGTCTAGCAAAGTACGGGAGGCCAAGTAAATCTAATCTACATTATATTACACATCAAATTAAAAAGAGAGCCAATTTGAAATCAGTTCATCTCAGCCACAAAATGTAGTACAACTAAACTAAAAAAAATTAGTAAAACTAGTAAGATCTCAGGGTGGATCCAGATGTTAGGTTTTCATAGCCAAAAATAGCTTCATGGAAGTCAATATGGGGTAAATAAAAGATTTCACAGTGAAATTTATTTTTTGAGAAATTGAAAGTGATTGTTTATCGAGAGGCCACGTATAATGGGCTCATGTGCAACTTCTCGGTGTTTCTGTTCCACTAATCTAGACTCTCAACTGCACAGCCACCTGTCTCTCACTAAGTCATCACTTAGAATCGATAGAGATCATCCAGAATTTCTCTTGTATTTCCTTTGGTGGTGGGCAGGATTTGACTCCCCACCATCTGCCTATGTTCCAGTAGTGATATCTGGAGAGGTTGGGACCATAGATTCCTGAGGGTGCTGCCATGTGTCATCACCTCCCCCCACTGACAGTTGTGCCAAAGCCACAGAATGCAGGATACCATGGTCAGCTACCAATTGTCCAATTTTGGCCTGGATATCTGCCTTGACTTTAGGTGAGTATGCCATGCACAGTGACTGTTCTGTAGCTCATTCTCCTTACAGACCCTGAAGAGTGGGGTCTCTAAGGTCAGATGGATAGGGGAGGAATGCAGCAGAGCCACCACCCCACTTGGGGGTCTTTTATGGTATTTTGCAGCACATGACAGACAGCGGGCAATTTTTTTCCTCTTGTAGGCATGATGTAACACTCTTTAGTTTATACACCCCTGACTTGTAAGTGAGTTCTTGAAACACTTAGCTTTTTCCACACCTTTAGACTATGAAAAGGTGTATTGTTGTGTTGTAGCTGTGTCGGTCCCAGGATATTAGAGAAACATGGGGTGAGTGAAGTAATATCTTTTACTAGATCAACTTCTATTGGAGAGAGAGACATGCTCTTGAGCTTACGCAGAGTTCTTCATCAGGTCTCAGAACTCTGTGTAAGCTCGCAATCTTGTCTCTCTCACCAGCAGAAGCTGGTCCAATACAAGTTAGTACCTCACCCACCTTGTCTCTCCAATAACACTGTATTTATACTACAATTCTTTGGAGCAAAGAGCAAATCATATGGAATTTTATGCCAACTGAAAGAATGCATTAATAGTTGAAATGCCATACAGCAGCCTGTTGGCTTAGGGATCATAAGCTATATTCCCTAAAGCCTGTGCAGAGTACAGGTTAGAGAACATCAAAGATATTGTAATGTAAATGCTACAGGGTTACAGCTTTCTATTTTTATAATATTAGCATAAATGTAAGCACACAGAACGGCATCTGAGAAGCAAGAAAAGATTCTGTTCTACCTTACACTATACTAGTTTTAATGTGGCAAAATATAAATGTATACATCTAGGAACAAAAAATATAGACCATGCTTGCAGGATAAAGGACTCTATCCTGGGAAGCAGTGACTCTGAAAAGGATTTGGAGTTTGAAGTGGATACTCAGCTAAACATGAGCTCTCAGAGCAACCGTGGCCAAAAGGGCTAATGTGATCCTTGGATGCCTAAACAAGGGAATCTCAAATAGGAAGAGAGAAGTTATTTTACCTGTATATCTGTGGCTGGTGTGATCACCGCTGGAATCACTATCCAGTTCTGATGTCCACAATTCAAGGAGGATATTAATAAACTGGAGAGGGTTCAGAGAAGAGCCACAAGAGTGATTAAAGGATTAGAAAACATGCCTTATAGTGATAATCTCAAAGAGCTCAATTTATTTAGCTTAACAAAGAGGAAGTTAAGGGATAAATTGATCAGACTCTATAAGTACCTATACGGGGAAGAAGTATTTAATAACAGACTTCAGTTCAGTAGAGAAAAGTATAACACAATCCAATGGGTGGAAGTTAAACTAAAACAAATTCAAAAATCTTCCCAAATCCCCTCTTCTGGCCTTCTAACGCCCCCCCCCCCCAAACTTCCCCAAGCTTATAATCAGAAGCAAGCTCCCCATAGATCAGGACACACCAATTCATTGCACCTGTAGTTTGATTATAGCCAAAAAAGTGTCAGTACTGCATTTCTGTTCTAAAATCCCACTGAATTTTGTTAGACAGAGAGAGCTTCAGCAAGAGCAAACGCTAAATAAGGTTCTTCTTGGCTGAGCTCACAGAGGGGACCTGCCAACAAGATAAGAAGCTTTCAGAGTTGTTTTAAATGGTGCAAATGCAAAAAATAAAAGGATTTTAAGCATAGAGCTATCCCCAAACCCTCACTCTTCCCCCTTGGGAACAGCTCAAGAGATTTTCTGAAGTTTGACTCTAGGCCAATAAATCTTCTTTCCCTCCTACCTCATCCTACAGCGGCACTAGAGAGTTCTTCTGGCCTTTCGTAGGAATAACTCCCTCAGACAGAAGATTCTTTGCAACCCTGCAAATAGAACCAGGCTGGAGTACCTTTCTGAAGGGGTGGAAAGTAACAGAGATCACCTTTCTGAGGCCTGGAACACCTAAAGAAATTACAAAGAAATGCAAGTATCAGAGGGGTGGCCATGCTAGTCTGTATCCACAAAAACGAGGGGTCCGGTGGCACCTTAAAGACTAACAGATTTATTTGGGCATAAACTTTTGTGGGTAAAAACCCACTTCTTCAGATGCATGGAGTGAAAATTACAGATGCAGGTTGCGCCACTGTAGCACTTAGTGAAGACGCTACCTATGCTGACAGGAGTGCTTCTTCCATCAACATAGGTACTCCACCTCCCCGAGAGGCAGTAGCTGTGTTGTCAGGAGAAGCCCTCCCATCAACATAGCACTGTTTTGTCGGTGAGTTAGGTCAGTATAACTACATTGCTCAGGGGTGTGGATTCTCCACCCCAAGTGCCAGTTATTCTAATTTAAATTTGTAGTCTAGCCCAAGGCTATACCTCTTTCTGACTTTACCTACTAAATGAACTGTGTTACTGCCACAATTATGGGGATGGCTGCACCGCTGTCCCCTTCCTGGGCAGTGACAAACAAACAGCCTTCTTAAAACAAGAAAGAAGATTTGGCAGTTGGAACAAAGTATTAGAGAAAATTATTTTAACCCAAATAGCTTGGATGCATGCTCATCTAATCTTATGCTTCACTACGAGGCAAATTAAATGGGCTTCCCTCTTGGACCAGAGCAGACCCAACCTACATTTTTTTCCCCTGTTTAAGCAAGCCTAGGAACTCTTGCACTCTTTGAAAGAAAAAAGGCTCGTCTGCCAGTCTGTTCTTCCTGTGAGGGAAACGCCCTTTTCTAAAAAAAACAACACCCTCCTTGTGTGAGCCTGAGGCCTATTAGCATATATCACAATATGCTTTTGTTACAGGGCCCAGGTGTGATGTCCTCTTTTTGCCTTGGACTGGTTTCTCCCAGTCAACCAACCAGGCCATCTAGGTATGCCCCTGTGACGGCTGCTCCATTTTTGGACATAAACCCATTCACACTTAATGGCTTGCAAACACAGGCTTTTAACTCGGGTAGGTTTTGCTGAAACCGTCAGCTCCCCAACACACCAGCTCAGAAATCCTATACAGAACACTCATTTTGGGGTACAGCTGTTGTGATAATTGGGCTGAAAAATGTACTCTAATTGTGAGCTCAACTGTAAAAGTATGTGAAAGTTCATAAGATGTCACAATAAGAGAAAATGTTGCTGGAAAAACTATTAAAGGGGGACAGGAAGACTAAGGTCATGTCTACACAACAAAGAAAATCCCACGCCTGGCCCGTGCCAGCTGACTCAGGCTCACAGGACTTGGGGTGCGGGGCTGTTTCAGTGCTGTGTAGACTTCCAGGCTCAGGCTGGAGCCCAAGCTCTAGGACTCTCCCACCCCGCAGGGTCGTAGAGCCATGTCCAGACATCTACACAGCACTGAAACAGCCCCAGTCTGAGCCCCATGAGCCCGAGTCTGCTAGCATGGGCCAGGCACAGGTGCCTAGCAGCTGTGTAGACATACCCTAAATTAGCCTAAACAAAAGGGCCTACTGGCACGGTTCAAGAACTGTGTTTAAAGAAAACAAAAGGACGTAAAACTGTAAATTAACTAACCAAAATTAAAGGAATTAAAGATTATGTCATGCGAAGAAACCTCCAGGAACATGTCCAACCAAAATTTGGCAACCTGACTACCGACTCCAGCTGAATCCCAAACATCTAGAATGAAACAGATTTGGACTATAACAGAAACAACTCCTCCTCCTCCAGGCCATTTGAACTAATTTTTTCTTCTTTTGACCAAAAGGACAGCTATTAGTCCTATTACCATCTTCTATACCATCCAAGAGACTGTCAAACAAAACAAAACAAAAAAGCTCTCTCTGGCTAAAGGAAAAAGGAACATGGGATGTTAAAATGCAATCCTTACTTCATACTTTACATTTCATCTTTAATAAGATGTTAAAATGATTTTAATGGGGTATTTGCCACAGTACTAAGCAGGCTGAGGTCTCTGTATATCAGATCCCAAACCTTTTTTAACACTGGTTTATGTTAACACCTTTGGCCCATTTATTCCATCAAAATTAATGCAACACAGCACAATATTCTCCAACAAGCACTCCTACATTTGTCAGACATGTTAATTGTTCAAAGGACATTGTCAAATAGGTTTGTGGGGTTTTTTGCTTATTTTCTGTTATGTGAAATTTTTTTTTTTTTTTTTTACTAGAAGTAGGTCATTTGTTTTACATTGCTTAGGCTTGGAAAGATTCAATTTTTCTTGTTAAGTGTCAGTAAATGTCAATTTCACCATACACAAATAAATGAAAAAAATGTTTGCATTCATAATAATCAAAATTTACAGTTAGGCAAAGTAAGAAAAATGCTGCTTGAGAACTTATTAGCATTTGATTTACAGATATTTACTTTGTCAATATCATATGTCAAAATAGACAAATTGTGTTTTAATAGTTGTGAAGCTTTAACTTTTTGAATCTCAATATCTATTAAATTGCTTGATCACACCCACAATTCCTATAACTGTGAATGTTTACATTGATAAAAATCTAAAACAATGCTTTAAAATATCAATATTATCCATCAACATTTTTAAAAATGAATTTTGCCAAGCATAATTATTCTGCAGCAGCCTTTCACTTTAATCCACTGACTGAAACAGATTAGTCACATTATCACAAGGTAAAGCCCCATCTCCAGCTTTTCAATTATATATGTGACCGTTTCTCTGTGCAGAGTTGCAAGGATGAGTCACACCAACATGCTGGTACAGAGAATGTACCACTGTAGGAATTGCCAGTTCAGACAGATGGTCTATCTTGTCCTGTGTCTGGACAAAGGCCAGTATCAGATGCTTTAGAGGAAGGTACAAGGAACTTCTTGGTTTGGTATTTGTGGAATAGCCTTGTCATAGGAAAGTTTCTTCCTACTCTGTCAGCTAGTGGATGGTTGAAACACTGAAAGTGCCCCAAATTTGCCATTTTTTGCAATCTTGAGAACCGGCTGCACAAGTGATGTAGGAGGTTCTTGGCATCAACCCCCTACACCTACAGGGGGCTTGTCCATAGGAACATGGGGTTTCTGAACTGCCTAGTGCATTGAGAAAACCCAGTGAGAAAAATACAGCGAGAAAACACCACACCAATGTAAACCAAGTTTTACTTCTCAAAGATTAACTTCATTTTCATAAAAAACAAACACTAAAAATCAGGAAGCCTTTTAAACTACACTTAGAAGTTTCCCCTCAAGCCAAGAAGTTGGTAAGAATCAGCAGCACAAAAGGTGCTCCAAATTTTAGGTCCCTCCAAGTTCTATAATCTTTTGTTCTTTCCGTATGCATTGAACTGTTTGCATAGTGGAAGGGTATTAAAAATGTGTATTGCATTTTTAAAAGATTTTTTTAAATTAAAGTTGCACAGGGACCCAGAGCTTGAATTACTCTGCAATAGGCATCTTTTTCTGCTGATGGAAAAAAGGGCCATTTTTATTGCATAAATAGTAATCATTGTAAGATTAACCATAGAACTATGGTGTGTAATAGAAATGAATAAACTCAGTTAGAAGTTAACTTGGTAAAATAAAAGGCCTCTTTCATTCTATTGGGTTGATTAGAAGATCAGTGATGCAATTAGAATTTAAACAGGGAGAACTGCAATCATGAACTACTTCTGTGTGTGGCGAACATGTGCAGATGGGTGTTTCATGTGTGAAAATATTAATCCTTGCCCTTCTTCTAAAAGCCAAGCCAAAATTTTCAAGATACTGGTTTTAATTCATGGCCACTCCAGCCCCCAACAATATTTATACCCCTCACCTCTTTCCAGCCTGCCCATACCCCATTGTCTTAAGGTGCCCTTCTCCTCCCATCTAGTCAGCAATAGCAGCAGCTGTGGGAACAGCACATTCAGCATGCCAGACTGAAATTTATGTTTCAGGAATGTTTTCTCAGTCAGATTTTTAGTGAAAAGCCCTTCTCTGTAATACAATTACCCAGCAGTGAAGAAGAGAAGTGTTCTGCACTCTTTATGCCATCGATGTGTCTTTGCAGCAGTAACTAGTACCGAAGTCCTTCCTCAGGCAAAAATTCCACTGAAGTCAATGGTATTTACCTGAGCAAGAACTTCAGGACTGGGTACTGAGGCACTGGGCTAGCAATGCAAGGAAGAGAACAGAGCAATAAGTAACATTTTGAAAAAGGTTTCACTGCCCACTCATTCAAAAGTGTCCTGATCACTCCGGTATTAAATCTGCCAACCACAGCAGTCAGCAAAATCCCTAGTGTGCAAGTAACTTTTATATTATGTACAGGTTTTTGGCTCTCTTCAATAATGCTTATAGTTGATCCCTTCTGACTAATACTAATTATTTAATATTTGCATGATGTCAGCAAGTTCAGTGCTATACAGAAGAAAGGAAGCCAGTTCCTGATCCAAGGAGTTCATAGTTTACATTAGATAACTAATACAGTTAAAACATATAATGCACCAGATTATCAGAGAATGGTTTAATCTCCCCTAATTCCCTCCCCTATCCCTCACTTTCTTTGCTGGGGGATTAATATTGATGGGCTTTCAGAAGAAGTGTTTTAGTGAGGGATTTATACAGAAGGTGCATGTTTGCTGCACAAGGAGAGGGAAACATTTGCAAGCATTAAGGATGGCATGGGAGAAGGTACATATATAAGAATGGGAATAAGATAAAAGAAAGTTGAAAGAACATAGTTTAAGGGGCGTGCAAGCGGGGAGGAAGAAATGAAAACTGGGATTTAGGCAGGGATAAAGATTCTTAAAGACTTGAAGGCAAGGAGGAGAAGCTTGAACTTGATGTGGAAGATTAGAGGATGCCAGTAGAAAGATTTAAGAAGGGAAATACATTTTCAGACAGTGACAAGAGAAGAAAACAATGTGTAGCCAGTGTGTGGCAGCCCCCACCTTGAGTATCCTCCAGCATCAGGCCACAGCAGAACATGTGCATCTACCTCAGTTTCCCCTTATTTCACCCATCAAAGGAGCATAGTCTCT